CATTGCTAGGATCTCCAGATGCTATTTATTCAAAAGTGTAATTTATCATTCAAATCATGAAAATATAATTTGCTCCTCAAATAATAATGTTCGCATTCTAGGAATATCGGAATATGATTTTGCAAAGCGCGAGGCTTTTCTGAAGTTCTCGTCCCACTTGTGTATTTCCCGTCCTGCGTGAAGAGTCTTGAGCATTTTGATATGAATCCTTATCCAAGTTGATTCCGGCATTAGCCGATGAGAGAACAGGACATAGCACTACTCAAGATGAGCGAACATAAGCTTCGCCCTGCTCCTCTAAAGCCGTCATGGACCTTAGCCGCACGAAGCAGGTCATAGGCGTCTCAATAAATAATATAAGGGTGCTAGTGGTTCTCGCAATTCTTTCCTTATTTTCGCCGCCCTTAATACTCGAAATAGTGAGTATATTTATGGTGTAAATCTAGCGGCTTCTTATACCTTTAATATAAGAGTCAGAATTACAGTAGACGAGATTAGGTCTACTCAAGTACAAAACCTCTAAGGTCGTCTGAAGCATTATATTTCGCCATGATTTATCCTTTGATTTGTGCTCATGCCAATAAGCGGAATTCATTCGGCTACTTGTGCCATGCCGCTTTAATCACAGTACTCTTGAATTGCACAGCGTCTCTTAAAACACGCACAGCAGAAGAATCCCGCTGCAAAAGGCTCTGGTGTGTAACGGCGCGAGTTATTTCCACTCGAGTAATCTTTCATATGTTAGGATTTTGATTAGCATTTTTCTTGCAGGAAAACAAGTCAAAGCCACCTGATTCCATGGAGACGACGTCTGTCTGTTTTGGCGGCTGCAAATCACTTGAGACAGGGCACTAAGGCGAAATAAAGTCTTGCATTCAGAAAAAAAAGATATTGTGAACGTCTATTTTCCCGTTGTTATTTTAGGCATGAGAATAAAGACCCGAGTTATTTCAATTTCTGTTGTTTGAGCGTCCTGTAAACTCCTTTGCAAACGTTTCGTATTTTCCGGAAAAAAGAACGGTGGGCGACGGACCTGATATTTAGAAACCTCTTACTTGGGCCCAGAACTCATGTCAATGGTAAGCTCGAACCAGATTGGTTTGAGGTTGAGACATTGTTGAGCTCAAGGATCTAGAAGTACTAAGAGCCTGACACGTAGTCCTGTCCTTTTCTGTTTCTTCGACTTATATGTTCATTTCTGCCCCAGTCTCAGGTTTATTGAACATGGTTAACATTCACCAGCTCGCCTGCACCCTTACTATATTATGTCGAACCATAACCCCAATAACAAAGTTTGCATATACTAGAAACATAATACGAAGTTCCTATCATTATGAAAGCATTGATTTAATCGAATTGTTCAAGAGAGGCAGCACGCACCAATGTGATTGTGATATGGACTTGAATGCCACATTAAAACGCGCCCTCGAATAGCTTGTCAGGCTCGAGTGGGCGTTTTAGGTGTAGACGCTGACCGCATTTCCTACCTGAAAGAAGTGTTGGAAGTTACGCGTTAAATTTTTGGGTGACCCATCAACGTACTTGTTAGATTCCCTTTGGCTAACAATTTTTTTAACGATTGTGCGGTATTGCCTATTAAGGTAGGTTGGTCGTCACTCGTTACTTTTGAGTCACGTGATTTATTTTATTTCGTTGTAAAGGAAATTATTCCGCATTCTGTGAAGTCATATAATAAAGACAGAGACCACTTGCGGTAAGAGACATCCGTTTTTAATACAACAATCTGTCGGCGATTGAAGGTTTTAAAACTCTGTCCCAGCTAATTCTACTCCAAGTCTTCTAGGGGAAATAAGACTCTAGTGGACGGTTCGCAAACCGAGACTCTCGGCGCATTTTTAACTGGGCGCGTTTTCTTCTGACCATACTTTTCCTCACTGATGGCCTTCTTATTATACAAACGACTGGGTCAACTCGTCTGGTTCACAATTAAAGCTTAGTGCTTAGGCCTATGTTCGCACATATACGTCACTGTATCATTCGCAGAGTACAAAGCTTCACCAATCAGAAATAAAAGCAATATATATCTGAGAAATTATCTAAAAAAACATACACTACGAAATCCCACAGTAAAAGTTTTATTATTGTTTAAGTTCCTTTCTGAGGCTTACCGATCTAAAATAATACTGAAATTGTAAAACAAAAGTCACGTTCTTTTTTTTTTGAGTAACGGTAACATCGTTACCCCTCCAGGACTGTAACAAATCTCAGTATCTCAAATCAAATCAAATTCAAATCAAAGTTTATTTAACATCACTAAGTACAAAGTACTAAACAAATGATGTATGGAGCTCTGACAAAAAGCCGCAAGGGTGCGGCTTGACTGGGTCTGAGCCCCCTCTGCATATGCATAGTCCCATTGCCATGTAAAAAAAAAACAAGCAAAAAAGATTCGGCAACAGCACTGGTAATAATACACAATAACAAACAAGTAACGCTACATCAGCATCACTTACTAAACATTAAACGATCAATGCACGCGAAGAGATACAAGGTGAAACAATAGATCTAGATATATAAACTGCATGGAACATGAAACAATTATTTTTCATTTCTAATTATCAAGTGAATTCAATAAAAATGGTAATGTGTAACATAATGATTGATTTCCGTAATTCGTACGTACATGAGGAATGATCCATGTTTCATTGTGACGTGTGTTATAAATGTTAGTGCTTCTTGTTAATCAAGATAATTGTTCTATGTTGTTGTTATTTAGTTTTTTGCCGGCATAGTACCTCTTAAGCAATATATCATTATATAAAAAGTGAACTGGACGTACCTTAAGACTCTTAAAAAGTGGTTCGGTATGCGCATCGTAGGGAGAGCCAGTGATAACGCGCACGGCTTTTTTCTGTAGTAAAAAGAGTAAGGCTTGACGTGGTTGTAATCCCCCAAACTAGGTGGCAGTAGTTGATGTGAGAAAGAAACAGGGAATTGTAAATAAGCAATTTTATATTAGTGGGTAGAAAAAACCGTACCTTTGTAAGAATACCTACAACGCGAGAGAGTTTATTAGCGATTATTTCAATATGTTTGTTCCAAACTAAGTGTTCTTCAAATACATCTCCTAGTCTTTTAACTGAGGGCACAATATCCACAGTAGAAGTCCCTGTCATGAGGGGGTTCTGAATATTTTCTTTCTGATTTTTAGGTCTGAAAAGTACAGCTTTTGTTTTGGACTTGTTAATAGCTAGTGAATTCAACAGGGTCCATTGGTTTAATTTATCGAGAACATTATTTGCATGATTTAATAATTGTTTAATATCGGAAGAATTAAAAGAATAAACTCATTAATTTTAACGCAGAACTGTTAATTTTCTGGCACCTAACCATCTCCAGTCGCCAACCAGGTTCGAAAGTATACAGTGGTATAGCTCGCTTACGCTTACGTTTGGCAGTAATAGACGAGCTTACGCTCGTCCATGACTCCGAGCCGGACGCAGACGCAGCTGTCCTGCAGCCTGCTTGTCCACCCACAACGGACGTCTCCGGGCAGCTGTGGAGTGCCGTGAAGACTAAGGTCTTTACTGGCTCCTATAGGGAACTAAAAGAGCGTCTGAGAACAAAGTGGGGTTTCAGGTATGCCTCTGTCAGGATATTTTATAATACATGCTAATATGTAGCAAAACACCAAGTTTAGGACGAAACGAGCCCTATGGCAGCAGCTGGCCGACACCGTCGTCGGAGAGTTCGGCGGCGTTGTCACAGCTGACCAGGCGAAGAACAAATGGAAATCTTCAAAAAGAGCGTACAAGAACGACAAATAAAAAAGACAACAAGTCAGGCTACTCTAGGGTGCATTTCAAATACGAGGAGTACGTACGTTCACTAATTCTTTATATAGGTCATCATTCGTAAACGTGCTGTTTCTGTGGCTTAATGAGCTTCGCGACATCCTGGAGAAGGAGCACCACATTGCACGAACCGTGTTTTTGGCGCCGGGAAGAGTCGTTGAGAAGGAAGAAGAGACCAAATAAGCACTTAAAAAAAAAGTAGAATAAACGTAACATTAAAAAAAATGTTTCAGCACCGAGGTTGAAACCTCCCGAGGGACCAGAGGCAGGACCCTCCTCCCTTGCCTCAGGGCTGGCTCCGCCCTCAAACCACCGTGCTCCGGCCGGCACACCGAGCGAGAAAAAGAAAGGAACCGCCCTGGCCTCGCTGCTCAAGGTTTTCGCCGACTTGGAGGCCAGTCGCAAGCAGCGACACAAGGAACGGATGGCTCTCCTCGAGCGCCTCGTGACTGCCATCGACAAGAGCGCGCCGGCAGAGTAGACGTGCTTCATGCACTTCACTGAACTTGACTACAGTTTGACTGTTTCGCAGGCCGTTTTATTTTTTAGTTTTAATATTTCGACATGTGCACAATTGTGCCGTACGAATAATTCGTTGAAATTGTCTTCCTGATTTTGTTTGCCTGTCCTCTGGAGTTCCCTGATTCATTCTTAGTTTTTAAAATTATTTCCGAGTTTTCTAGGATGTATTTGTTTTACCGACATATCTAGTTTGTTGTTTTGCTGATTGTTAGTTTTGCTGATTGTTAGCCTGAAAATAGCCTGGGGAGCAATGTAAGGTTAAGGAGTCAATGGCACTGACTACCTGAGCATGCCCACATGTATGTCTTCTGCGATACGAATGCAGTAGGATATTGGATCAAAATAATACTGTACGCAGAAATGAAGGAACGAAGTAACCCGTTACTTTGTTTAATTGTGTTTTCATCAAGTCAGTACGTTTGATTTTCCAAAGCTCAAGTACCATCTTCGTATGTTCATAGACACACACACATACACAAAAAATACGAATACTATTTTTGGAAGAGCAGGTGTAGATGTCGCTTCCTAACATTCGGTCTTAGCAATGGCCTCTCGGATCCGCTCGGAGAGACTCCTTGTGGCGTCGTCCGGTTAGATCGCGTGGTCGTCGTCGTTGGTGACTTGGTCAGGCGGGTGGGCGTTGTTCAGGTCATCGAAAAAGTATCACTCTGCATTGCAGAGGTTGTGGAGCACGCAGGCGGCCATAACGACAAGGCAGCACTGTCTGATGCTGGCACTGTCGACCAAGTACATTCTCTGAAATCGCTGCTCGAGCAGCCCGAAAGTGTTTACGATTGTCACTCTCTGTTGACAGTGCTTCATGTTATACGTAGTCTTCCAGGTCGGCAGGCCCGCTTTTGAAGACTTGATGGGAATCGTGACGTATGGCAGCAGGGGATAAGCCGAATCCCCCTGCAGGTACCCACCCGCACACTTGGCTTCCGCGTCCTCCAAGACGGGGCTTTCCTTGAGGACGCGGGCGTCGTGCGCTGAACCGGGGAACCCGATGTAGACGTCGATGAATCGATTCTGATCATTGCAGGTACCCTGCAAAACAATGGAATGAAACTTGTTCCGATTGTAGTAGGAGTGCGGAGACTCCGTTGGTCGCAGAATTTCTACATGGCATCCATCAATCGCCCCGACCGTTTTGTGGGGCCATTTCCCCTTAGTCTTCCTCAGGAAGCCGGCTTGGCTCCTCTGGCGTCTTTCCTGGTCAGGCCAGGTGATTATTTGCGCGCTGATATCGTTCATAAAGTTCAGCATTTTTTCAATGCAGATGTGAACGGACGACTCTGTTATGTCAAAGCGATCCGCAATCTGGTACATTGTGGCTCTCGTGCCTAAGTAACTAAGCACAATCAGCAACGTCTTCTCCGCCGAAATCTGCGGTAGTCGACCAACGGAATCCGGGTAAAACGCCGAAGCTTCATGTCGACCAGCCAACCCCGCGTGTGTCTCTCTCAAAAGCCTGAAAAACCCCATAAATTCGAAATCGAAGTAGATGTCGATCACCTTTTCGTAGTACAGGGGAACCCTGCTCCTCTCAGTTCGTGCCGAAACAATCGAGGCAAGGGCGATTATGTCGTCGAGCTCATCGAGGCTCTCGTCTTCGATGAGCACTACTGCAGCCGCCAGTAGGTTCTGATGCGACATCGTCATCTTGATCTCGCGAACGTATTCAGGTGTACGTGGTCGATGAAATGTCTATGAAAGCGATCGCAGCACGAAATCAGACGATATACAAAGCAGACATGTCTCATTAGTTGCTGCACGCACTTTGTAATACAATGTAAAGAAACATACACGTAAACTATTTTGGAAAAGAAAGAAATATAAAAATAACGCAAATGGTCTTATCCAAGCGCTACAGACAAAATTCCATGGCGGCACAGCCAGACGGCAAAAGCAGACGACGCCTTGCGCATCCGTTTTATTGGTACTCCGGAAGTCGATCACAGCGCCAGTCCTAACGCAGTGGCTGCACTGGTTCTGCGCCGCCGCTGTACGACTCCTGCACTCCTCTGAACTCGGACAGAACTAGTTCAGAACTTTGTAGCCGAATCGAACAGACCTATCCTAAATTAGGAGAGAAACCGAAATTAACACGTGTAGTAACAAGTGAAGTCCAAAATATAAGTTAGTTCCAGTTTCGTTCCTGAATTAAAGCGTGCCTCCTGGCGAAACTATTGCACCCTTTTTGTGTGTTGTTTTCAAGATAAAAAGATGACCTGCGCGCACAACACCCTAGCTTCCTTCTATAAGTGGGAATAATTTGTATCGCCGAGCGAAGCCAGCAGACAAGACAGGCTCCGCAACTGGAACACCAGCGCGCATATTCGCCCTCACTATAACTGCCAAATTGTTAAACGAGCCGTGCCACTTATAGAGAGTTGGAGTCGCGAATACTTACGACCTCGTCACAATCGAGTAACACAGTGGCCGCCGACAAAAGTAGTACTGCTTTGCATTTATTCTGGGAGGTTGCGTTTGCTACTGAACTCTTCCGTTTGAGAGCCTGCATAGGAGAGTTCATAACTGGTCCATCGGGGTAACATTGTTTATGGGCCGCCTTTGCAGTAGGAGCTGCGAGGTGGCGAAAGCCTTAATGATCTGGAAACTTTTCCGCCTTTCCTCCTGCTTTCCTCCTCGCCACGCTAAAACGCAGTGAATGGTGCACTGGTGACAGATCGCCGCCAGTAGGTGCCCGCCTTCAAATTGCAAAAGCTCCCCACCACTTGAGATGAATCCTCTGTACAATCTAAGCTCTCCATGTTCTGCTCATGGCTCAGGCCAAGCTGCGTTTCCGTGGAAGACAAAGAAAAATTGAGAGGAGGACGGAGTCTCATACTTAGCTAAATATGTTGAACAATGCGGTGAAGGCCAACCATTCATCATCAACTTCCGACCGCGCCGGACGTGTACATACATGCACATAGACCAAAGCATTTCTGGCACGTCTGGAACAACTGACTAATGGCGCCATCTATTGAGAAGGCGGGAAACTATATCAGCCACATCGGGGAACAGCTCTCCCCGTGCGCGCGCTCAATCTGGGGTAGAAAGAGCGCATTAGGCATGGCCTCTATCTAACCGCGATGCACAGCCAGCCTTTCTTTGAAGTGTATTTCAAACAGTCATAAAACGCGCTCTCGTCCGCCTGCGGGTCAAGAGATCTCTTAAATTTTCTCAGGACTACACTTCCCTATGGATCAAGGACGTCTGAGTTCCACGGTGTATATCTGGTAATGCACGGTCGAATTGCGCGAGCACACAAAGCCATTTCGAGTTTAATCATATTGTCCACGATTGGTTCAGGAATGCGAGCGACCAGCCACGAAGTCAATTGGCCTTTGAAGTACACCGAAAGGGAGAAGCTGCCCGGGGGCCGGGACCTATGCTAGGACGACAAAGCTTCGACTTGTACAGGAGCGGACAGAGGCTTGCAAAGCACAAGACGTCGAATAGAACGTCGCAAGCATGGCGCCGTTGGCCACAATTATCCCAGATGTAATAGCATCTAATAAATCTGTAACAACGAGTGTGATGAAGCAGAATGCGAGACATAGCACCGAAAAAATCAGCGACACCTTCGACCCTCGAGGGCATACTTTGGAGTGGCTGGAATTGTGCCTGATTCCTTAACGTAGAACTTGAATGTTACGATATTAATGACTTTTGGTAGATCAAAATCTCAAATAAAGCCCCCTAGAGAATTTCTCAGAGAGCATAAAAATAAAAATTTTCTTGGCCCGGTAATTGCGCTCACTACCCCCCCTGCTGCGAATACTGTCTTTACTAGTGTTGCATTGAGGAGGTTCAGAGCCTCTAGTATTATTTTTCTGCTGTACTAATCGCAAGTGGTGAAGCGTTTAGATATGCTGGGCGATGCCGTGCAGGCTATGCTTACCGGCTTCCCGGGAAACGAATGGAGACTGCGCGGGACACTTTTCTCTGGGTGATTTTTTTAAAAAGTGATCGGTTTCGTGCAGTTTATAGTCGCGGGACCGATTGGAACCCATACCAATGGTTTCCATTTCAGATTTCTGGAATGCGCCGAAGCAACGCAACAAAGCCTCATCTGGTGACTACTAAACACATAAGGAGAACGTAGGCATGTCTCGAAATGTCAGATCACCAGCCATATTGATGCCTACCAAAACCTGTAGTGTTTGGGAACCGGTTCGATGCAGGCTTCTGGCGTTCTTCGATGACGGTACATCATAAGAAAGGTCCGAAATTCGTACAGAGCGTTCTCTGCAATCAGGGTCCTCAGTTTTCTCCAATGCCCGCACCACCGTGTCCCATTCACATCGATCGCTCTTCTGCCACTGAATATCTTGAGCGTCTGAAGATCCGCCGCAGCAGACGAAAGTGGCATCCTGGTCCGAGCGAATCCAGTTGTTAAGGAATAAATTAAATTCTTGAGTTGATTCACTGGAGCAGATTACCCCTGACATATAGATGGTGTTAGTCACGGCAAACAGAGAGAGCATAAGGTTGGAGCACCATATCGGCACTAGCGTCACCTACTTTTTACTGAGCTTGATACTAAATAACCATGAATCAGTTTTTATACGTTGAGATTGCCAGCCAACGCCCGGCTTTTATACTGGGGTGTGCTTGCCTTCAACGCGGACCTTATTTATCCAACTCCTCGGTTTTGAACACACGAAAAACAAAATGCTGTTCCCTGCAGAAAAATGCGCACGCACTTTACGTGTACGAGTAGCTTCTGATGTGGCCGTCGATATTTTAATCAGAAGAACCCGGAATCAGTTGATTGATGCCAAATGACGTTATAGCGTGACATGCTTCAGTGTTTATCTTTCTGGCAGTCCGAAGTAATTTGTCCAAGAATAGTAAGACACAATCATTGAGTGTACCCTATCTTTTGGTAAATAATATTTTCATGCTCATTTCTAAGGCAAGATGAGAATGTATAATGTGAAACTTTACTTATTTTCTCTGCTTCTTTATAAAGAAGGCTCTAGTAGATTTAATACCTCAGCACGCAGGTGCGGGAAGATGCCGAAAATACAGTAAAGACGGCCGTGTTGCATTTTATATTAAATAAATGTAATGGTATAAGCCGTTACATTAAAAGGTTTTCCATAATGTATGTGCTATACTTAATGCATCTTTGTCAAACTGAACGCTTCGCATCGACTGGAAAAATGCGCGTGTCATTAAAATATTCTGGTTCGACAATTTTTCCAGCGTGTCTACCCACCGAGCGATGTCCCGTCCATGGACAAGCTGCAAATGTTTAGAACACGTGGTGTACCAAAGGGTAGGTTTTCTATATATAGAAATTTCCTCTAGATGCACCCACGACGAGACTAGGAGATTGACGGCGGAGTGAATATCACTTGAGAAAAAAGGAACTCGGCTCTCTAATAAAATATAATCCAGTCAGTCAAGTGTTCGAAAATTCTAATTGCTTAAAGTTTCGGTTGAATTCTGTTGTGCAAACTTTGCGAAACGTTTTGGCGAAGCCCAAGAATACTGCATCGATCTGTTTCTTGTTACTTACTGCAATCGCAAAGTCATGACACGTCGGAAGTAGAAGCGTTGACACACCGTGCAGAAAGCTGTGCTGTAGGTTTGACAATCTTTTTTTTCTTCTCAAAACTATGTGACGCTTTTGCGCTCCACGTGTTTTAAAAATTTGCAAATTGTCAATGGATGGGACATTGGTCGGTGGATAGACACGCTGGAAAAGATATCTGACCAGAAGATTTTACTGACACGCGCTTTTCTCCAGTCGATGAGGAGCATACATTTGACAATTATCCATTAAGTATAACACATACTTAATTGGGAACATTTCAATCTAACCCCTTATAGCATGACATTTATATAATATATATTGCAACCCTGCCCTCTTTAGTGTAATTTTGGCATCGTCCCGCACCTGCGTGCTGAGGTCTGATATCTACTAAAGCCTTCTTCATAAAACAGCAGAAAAAAATTATTAGAGAAGAGCCACATTACACATTGTAATCGTTCCTTAGAAATGAGCATAAAAATATTTTTTACCAAAAGATTGGGGTACGCTCAATGATTGTGTCTCAATATTTTTGGACAAATTACATCGGACAGCAACATCAACACTGAAATATATATCACGCTATAACATCATCCGGCATCAATAAACCGATTCCGGGTTCTTCTAATTTCCATATCAACGGGCCACATCAGAAGGTACTCGCACACACAACGTGCGTGTGCTATTTTCTGCAGGGAACAGCATTTTGTTTTCTTTGTGTTCAAAAACAAGGAGTTGAACCAATAAGGTCCGCGTTGAAGGCAAGCACACCCCAGTGTAAAAGCCGCGCGCTGGCTGACATTCTCAACATATAAAAGTTGGTTCATGGTTATTTAGTATCAAGCTCAGCGAGAAGTAGATGACGCCAGTGCTGATATGGTGCTCCAATCTTTGAGAAGTATGCCCTGTCTGCTTGCCGTGTTTAACGCCATCTATATGTCAGGGGCAATCTGCTCGAGCGAATCAACTCAAGAATTTAATTAATTTCTTCACAACTGGACTCGCTCGGACCAGGATGCCTCTTTCGTCTGCTGCGGCGGATCTTGGGACGCTGAAGATATTCAATGGCAGAAGAGCCTTAATGTGAAAGGGACACGGTGGTGCGGACATTGGAGCAGACTAAGGACACTGATTACAGAGAACGCTCCCCTATTGAAAAAGGCCAATATGAACTCGGCTTATTGGAAATATTGTATTCCAATGAAGTTGATGGAAACCAATAAAATCTTATTGTTATCCGATTAACCCGATACGCACGATGGGAATTCATATCGGAGCACAATATCCCGATATAGTATGTGGTTATTGGTATACAACAGGATATTGGAGCACAATATCCCGATAGAACTTGCGGTTATTGGTATACAACACGATATCAAAGCACAATATCCCGATAGAACTTGTGGTTACAACACCATATTGGAGCACAATACCCCGATAATGCGTGGTTATTGGAATAGAATACGACATCGCGTGCCTTTTGGTGACCGATATGGACATACTGTACGGCCTCACGATATATAAATATCGGTCGTCGATCACGGGTCCAATATGGTATCGCGTGCATATATCTCAGAACGGATACATAGTTACCAACAACAGAAAACGTAACACGATATTCAGCGTTCGTGAAGCAACATGTGGATATCGGTATGCCCACATATATGACATCGCGTGAATGACATCGTAAAACTGCACGAGTTACCACACGGCAACACGCGAGAGGAAGATATTTTAACACAAACGTTCTGGCTTGCGAAAACATGAACATTGATTGACAGTGCAAGTATATAAAGCAGTTGGTACGGCACACAGTAGACACAGTCTTGCGTGCTTGAAAAGCTGGATAACCACCAAACCATTCAGAATAACTATCTGGTACACCCGCGACCTACCTTTCAATGAAAAAGTCCATTAACGACGTTCTTATTGAAGTGATCGTTTTACAAATGTTTATTGCAGTCGTTGTAATGCAACAAAAAATG